GTGAGGGTTTTTTTTTTTTTTGTTTTTTTTTTTTCTTTTTGTTAACCACCATGAATCCTCGGTAACAACGGAGTGTGCTACAGTGGAGTCCTCTAGGGCGGAAACAGAGAGACAAAGGGGACAGCTAGAATCAATAGCTGAGGGTAGAGTCATCCCATTCCAGCTGCTGCTGTCTGTTGACATTCTGTTGGTCCTCCTCCTGCTCCCCCTCCTCCTCCTCACTGCTTTCAGACTCCGCGCTAGTGATGTCATCTTCTTCCCCGTCTTCGCTTTCTTCTTCCTCCTCCTCCTCTTCCTCTTCACTGCTGTGTTGATCCTCATAAGTCTGTTAAGACAGAAATTAGCTGTTGATATCGTACTGGCCGAAAGTCTTTTTATTCTTTTGAAGTCAGGCACAAGGCACTATATTGAGAAAGAGCTATTACAGATTCCTTACTGGTTTCAGAAGTTCAGCAGTAATTAGGCAACCAGAAAAGAAAAAGGAAGCAGCGCACTTTAAAACATTGCTATCAATCCTGTCACTCCAAACAAACTAATTCTGAAGTGTGATCCAGCACTTCCAGTTCTACTGGAAAAGGATCTTTCAGTAGGGTCGCACGAAGAGCAAAGATGGTTGCCCATCTTTCTTGTTCCTGATTTTCTAAAAATTCAGATGTCAACCACAGGAGAAGGAAACATCACGAACACAGATGTTTCAACAATAAATTCTTGCAACTTTGGAAAAAAGCAGAGCACGGTTAAGGCACGGTGCAGCATGATAAACACTGGTGTTGGACCCTGACCTGTAAAATCCAATTATGTACCATGAAGCTAACACCCATGCAAGATCCCAAACATAACTGCTCCTGGCATTTGTCACTTCGGCGCATTCATTAAAAATTCACAGTTAACGCCTCTATTCTGTGTTCAGTGGTTGGTTTTGCTCTCCTACTCTATCCGTGTACAATCATGCCCATTACAGCTGGAAAAGGGCCTTTTTTTGTGAAGTGCTGCGACAGCAGCTTTACCTCCATGGGGTTCACAGTGATGGTCAAAGCAGAGTCATCCCAGTCCATCTCATTTTCCTTCCCAGTGTCCTGGTCACGCATCGTTCTCTGATGTGCAGCTCGGATTCGGAACACTCCCAGGATAATCATAAAAACCAGGAAACTGACACAAACTACGATCACGACAGTGGCTGTACTGGGAACAACTGCAACAAGAAAAGAGAAGGAGTTTCTTAGATGATGCTGATAGGTAACTCTTACACAATGCTAGTAACGAGGCCTCTGTCCCATCGCCTGCAAGAAGGAAAAGGCGTTATACAAATCTTTTACGTAGCTACACAGAGGCAGTTTGTCTAAGGTCACTTAAAAAGGCAGTTGGAGAATAAGAGCTAAAACTTAGTTCCTTAAGTATAATTACATCCATCTGAAGGACTGACAACACATGGAACGCAGATTCCACCACACACACAGACTCCTCTCTAAAATGCCTGTTTTTCTTCCTCTCACATCCTACACCCATGCCAAATTAATATCATCAGAACAGAAAGGGCAGATTCCACGACTCATCCAGGGAATAACGCTGCAGTTCTTTCCTCATGCCGTTCAGAAGAAATACCGTCCCAGTTCCTCAGTCCTTTATCTAGGTCTTGCAGTCCCCTCCAAGACCAGTACCCCTCCCATTTTCCCATGTACCCGCACCAACAGAAAGCTCTCCTGCTGGCAGGAAAAGATATTTCATAGACCTCTAGTAATCCACTCCTCCCTGCTGGGGCAGCAGCAGGACAGGACCGAGGAGCTGCCGAGATCACCAGTCCAACACACTGGTTTAAACTCTGGGAAAAAACCTCTCTGCAGCAAGAAGCCTCTGTGACAGTTTAACACCAGAAATAAACAGCTGAACTTCAACGACTGAGAATTCTTACCTGAAAATGGGTGAGGGTTAGCTAAGTTGTGACCAGAGAGATCAACAAATGTATGATGCACTGGATGAACAAACTGTGGTTGTGCGGCTATGTGATTAGCATGTTCGACTGGGTTAGCTGTGTGGATAACATTCACCTAGGAACAAAAAGAAAATGTTAAACTCCAGAAATGTAACAGTTTACTTCTGAAGAGCGGGAGGGAATCTATTTCCCAGAGCAGGCATCCAATTCTCCTTCAACACGGCAACGGCGTGTCCCAGGGGACAATCACCCCCATCAGTAGCCCCTCCTATGTTACAATTCCTTGTCACAAACCCCTTGTTTTCACAGCTCTCAAATCTGTTTTAGTTAGTCTGGCAAGTTTGTGTACAGACACCAGTATTTCAGAATAAAACAGATAAAGCCAGTTTATTATCAAATTTGGTAGCCAGCCATTTTTGATCCTGAAATAACAGTCTATACGAAGACATATAACGCATTCATTACATTTTCTTATTCCTCAGCTAACACCAAAGAAAAATATCCGTATTACAGTCAAAGGCTTAAGAAAAGCCTATTCTTTAGAGTTTAACCCACATTTAGCATAGCTGGCTTTTAGGTACAACTGCAAGCTCACGCATATTTCACGTTTCCTTGCCAAACACTCCTGGGGCGGAGGAGCGCGCTGCAGCACGCACAGCAGGAGGAGAGGACGCTGACCACAGAACAAGGAAAGCATTTGCAGTGCAGCAGTTTGGTGAGATCCCAACTCAAACTTACAGAATTTCCTCAGGAAACAGAACCACATTACTTAATTAAAGAATTTCTATTCTGCAACACAAGAGGCTCCCCAGCCCACCATAACCACCTAACTGGTAGTAAATATAACTTTACTGTCATCCCTTTGGTCAGCTTTAAAATGTAGAAAGTCAAGCTCATAGCCGAAAGATGCAGATACACACGACAGTTCCTCTCAATATAAATAACTTCACATTCCAGTACCTGAAATTTCAGTGCCCTTTATGCTATCTTCTGCTGTACTACCACGTATTTGATAAAAGCGCACTAAGTAATAACCTGTGTTCTACTGCAGAGGAAATGCAATTTTAGCCTGTCTGTGCTCTGACATAAGCCCTTCGTAGCAGTGTTTTAAGCATCACAAAAGCAAAACAGTAAAGGGCCCAGCAAGTTCACTTGCAGAATCCTAGCAGTTATACATGAAGGCCACTCGAGTCTCTGGCAGCATTACTCTTACTCTATTTGCTAGTTTTTTGCTCATTAATATGCTGTCTTTCCAATTCAACTTTTTCGCCTTCACACTTCCATTAGCCATACTATTTCTTCTATAACACAACAGTTCCACCTCTGTTTAGGCAGCCTTATTTAAAGCTGAAATGTAGGATTAAGAGCACATTTATATATAAAATACAGCCTGAAATGCACGATTACTAATATTTATTTACAGGACAAAAATCTAAATCAATAATTGATTGATTATCTATCAGTTGAGGCAACAACTTCCATCCTCCTAGCCATCCATGCCTCTCAAACTTCTCAGACTGATCAGATTAGCTTACATACCTCCACTTTAAACTCATTGCTGACATAGCGCCCGTTAAGCTCAGAACAGACTAATTTGAACTTTCTGTCAAAGAGAGAAACGGTGTGCCAGTTTCTGTAACGTATCAAATGCAAAACTTCTTCGTAACTAGCCATCGTATCAACCCCTGGGGAGAGAAATACACAAGTAAAACAATTATTTTGCAAAAGACTGGTGCAACATCATATACTCAACAAATATTACTCCCTTTCTTCAAGCAGGTTTTCTTGGCCGACAGATTTTCAGTTAGTAAAAAAAGGTAACACCATAAAGACAGACACACACATACGTGGCCCCACTGAAATTCTGTGGATTGATTTTGTGATAAAATCCTAGACCCAATTAGTCTTTAAAGGGATTCTGGAAGCCTTTCTTTTGAATACGTAACATATTCTGAATATAAAATAGAAAGGAATGATGCATCCTCCTAGGCACTCGATTATCTGAGCAAGGAACAAGCCTTTTCTGGGCAAAGTGTACTTCATTTCCACAGTCCAGAAGTAACCTGCAACGTGGGACACGAGAGAAGAACAGAAAGGAGATTCTAGAATGACATATTTTCTAGAATCCCAGCTTCCCACAAAATATTTGTAACACCTCTAAGCTTGAAATTCTGGAGAAAATCAAAGTATGTGGAGGAAGGTGTTACAAACCATCTCTCTAGCACACTCTCCTGTTATCGCTGTCTTCAGACCCTTCCTACAAAAAGACCAGAAGTAGCAACCCCTACCTGTGATTATCATGCCCAGGTTGGAACTACTCATCTCAATGCCTTTCTGCTGTAATCGTGTCATGTCGATCTCCAGGCTTTCTTGTTCCTGGTTTAGTTCCTCTCCTAGCACTGTCACCTCACACGTATCCAGGTTGTGCATGATCTCTTCAGATACCAAAGACTCTTGTACTAAAAAGCAGAGAAAAAGCCAAAGAGTTAAGCAGAAACAAAGGTGAAGTAGACAAGAGCCCAGGAGCTATAAAATGTCACATGCAAACTCAACTCTTCTTCCAGAACAAATATTAAGATCTGGACCTGAAGTAAAGAGAGGAAGTATTAATGAAATAACGATTAAAAAAAAAATTACAAACAAGGGATATTCACATGAAGATAATGGCCTGGGCTTACTACCATTTCCAGGTAAATTTCTGTTAGCCCAGAGCAGAGTGTCTACACTTTCTCACAAGAGGTATACACCTTCTTTTCCCCTGCTAGATTCTGTATTAAAAGAGAAATCCACGTCTCTTTGCAAGAGGAAAATCCTCCAACATGACCACTGAATGGGGTGAGGGTAGGCAAAGTCCTAAGCAGAAAAGGATGTTACCTGTCGGATCTTCATCTCCATCTCCCTCTGGCTCCACCTCCCGGGTAATGGTGCTTATTATGCGAAGCTCAGGAAAGAGGGAAACACCCTCGGAGCTCTCAAACTCTGAAGCAGAGCGGGCAAAATGGTTGATGCCACTAAGGCTGATTTTTGGTTCCTCTGGTTGCAAGACCATTACATATCCCTCCACAGAAGGAATGGAGACACAGGCCTCTTCATTGAAACATCTACAAGATACAGAAGCAGTTTTGCACCGTCAAGGAGGCTATTTGAGAGGGTGGCACAATTCTGCAGAGTAATTGCTTTATAAATTTTTAAAAAGCTCTGTCTCAGACCCAAGAGTCTTAGATAAATTCATCAACTGCGATGGAAAGTAAGAATTCCCCACCAAGGGAGCAATCTTACAATTAATTTTTACTTACAGTTAACATTTGGCCCCATTTTCTATGCTATGACTAACAGCCACAGATAACACCTTTAATGAAGGCTGTGATACTGGAGACATACTCACAGCATACCCTTGCAGTAAGTTCCTCCCTATCTTACACACTCCTTACTACATTCTCAGGAAGAAAACAATGTGCTGGTATAGAAAACATTTGCTGTATTCAAATGTGTGGTGGTTACATACAGCAAGACTCCTCGTTTATCACAACCAAGATACATAAACATCGTTCCAGGCTTCAGTATCACCGTACAGAGACGCGTTACTTCAGCACTAGGACATACTTGACAACACTGGTGATTTTAAGCCTCCGAATCCCAGGTGTTGGGAACTGGCGGGAATTCAGATAGGAAATGTGTTGCATGGCCTTATCAACTCGGTCAATATCGTCCCCTTCTAAGGTCAGGGTTGACTGACTTGGGTTCATGTGGATCTGAAACAACAGGGGGGAAAAAAAAAGCGAATGCCCAAACAGTAAGATGACCTGGTAATTGAAACTGGAAGTTCAGCCCTGCTTAGCCTGGTAAACGCTAGGATAATTACAAAAGCAGTAAGGCCGTTATTTACTGGCCTTGTAGCACACAGTCTAACTTCCTTATTCACTTCCCTGTTCCAGTGGAATACGTTTAGTGTTTCGTTCTTTAAGAAAAAATCTAGGCACTTATCACGGTTCTGATGTGAAGATTCTAGTAATATGGAAGAGAGACAGCTAATATAAAGGAGAAATTCAGCTCTGTTCACACAACCTTCCTACTAAAAAAGGCATGCAAGTTAGTCTCATTCTACTAAGCTGCCTGTTAAGAACCTCTCTCTTATTAGACAACCTGGCATCACTGGTAAAGCAGAGAGGCTTACAAATACGCAATTTCTCTTCAAGACTTCAAGAGAATACAGTAACTTTCACTCTTAAACTCCACTAAGACCATGTCCATACAGGAAAGATTTCCTAGTTTTCATGTAATTTTAATGCAAAATGCCACAATAGATTAGCCTCTTTTATTTGGGACAGCCCTACTAACTCTGCCAGTAAAACTTGCAAGAATTATCAGCAAAGCAATATACATGCTCCCCGTTATTCACATGCAACTTTACCTTCACGCCTTTGCCAACACCATCAGCCACTTGCAAATCCAGTCCCTCTTTGCAAGTATATAGGCAATCTATCACCTTCTTGTTTTCCAGTTTCCCAGAACGAATCATCAAACCTGCCAGATTGCCTCGGAAAAACTGAGCCATGTGGAGTTCACCACCTTCATAAAGGAAGGAAGGAAAAAATCTTTGTATGTTTTGATTCTTTTCACTTTTTTTTTCTTTTGTAAAACAACAAATATGTCTTCTGGTACCACAAATTATTATATACATGCGGGTTAGTTTTTATCCATTCTGGGTGTTAACCTTGCGATTATGTTCAAGCACAAAGAAAGAATTAAACAGTTCACCATGCACATGGCCTTCAAACCAGGTGTGGCCATCTTGAACTGTGAAACTAAGGCTAATATTTCCATAACAAACATTTCAAAAGAAATCGCCCATACAGCGAGGTGGTGTTCTTCAGAAATGAAAGACAGAACCAATGAGATGAACTATGAAACCTTGATCTTCATGTTGAGGTAATGCCTCCTACTAGTCAGTTCTCTACAAAATGGGCAATGCCCATCAGGATAGAAGTCGACAGCATCCTTCCTCCAGCTGTTAGTTGTCTACATCTAAACCCATCATTACAGGCCCTCTTTACACTCAAAGGACAGAAAGAAACTTCACGAAGTGATTCAGCTCATTCTGAGTAAGGTGTCCAAGAGTTAACTGCTCGCCTCTAAAGGTGCCTTCTTCTCTGTATGGACTCAAGTGAGTGGTTTAAACTCGGGTAACTCATTTTTAGATATCTAAGTCCCATGAATTGCAACCCAATAAGCTCCTTATTGCTTAGATTTTTTGAAGATGACATCACGATGATCACCTAGTCCATATCTTGCTAAATAATGAGGACCACAGACCACCACCCAGAAATTTGTATTTCAAGGTCATCACTTACTACGGCACCAGATCTTTAGAAAGATGTCTAAGCTTGTTTTAAAGATTCTAAGTGATAAAAGATCCCTGGCATAACTCAGGAAAATTTTCAGTAGCGACCTGTCCCGTTACAAATTATGTAATTTCCAGTTTAGATTTGTACAGCTCCAGCTTCTAGCCCCAGGACTCTGTCACATCCTTGCCAAATTAAAATGTGATGCACAGCTAGAAACCTCCTGTCAATCATATCTAGACCATTCCAGGAATTCTTAAAACTTTACAGAGAGAGCACCTATCTTGAATACACTTTCAGAAATATACACTAATTTTAAGTGTCTCAACTCAAGACACAAAATCCACTGAACTATCACCAAAAATTTCTAAGAAAATAAAACCCTGTAGCCAACCTGAAATACCTGGTAGCCAAAGCTTTTATGCCCATTCGCTATAGCTAGAACTTTATATCAATTTCTGATCAAGTGAGTATCCGCCGCAAATTACAGGTCTGCCTTTCAGTTATATACGGGCAACCTGATCTCAATATGAAATGGGTCTTGCTTTGAGTGGGGAGCACAAATACCCGACTTCCAGAGGTGCTTCCCAACCTACTGACTAATTCTACGATACACACACTTACCTACATACGTATATATACATATATTTATATAGGATGAGGTGCATTTACATTTTAACACAACTGGATGAAAGAAATTATAGCTGATATTTTACATCAGCAACTTATTTTACACCACTTCACTGCAATCACAACGGTTGCAGATTTGTACATGGATGGGCATTTGGGTGCAACCAAAAAAAACCCACCAAAAAATAAAAAAAAAAAAGAAAGCAAAAAAATCAGCTGATGAAGCTCTGGAAATAGAAGCACAATGAAGAAACAAGCCTAGGAGAGGATTATGTGAAGGTCAATGGCCCGAACGCAATGCCTGCATTTCATGCTGTGTGCGAGATGAAGCAATGTCTTGGCTTAAAAATGAAATAAAACAGTAGGGAAAAAACTCCAGCAACCTGCAGAGGTCTCAGGCACAGTTTCATTGTCATTTTCATTTCCTGTATATTCTGTAGAAAAGCAAGACAAAGAATAGGACAATAGGGAAAGGACCAAGTAGTTACAATCTGGCAAACTCTCTTATCACAGAAAATACACAGCAGCACGTCCCCCAAAAAGTCTGCTTATACTCAACCCAGCTTCTCAAGGATTACGAGTTCTCTGAAACACTAACAGCTGCGATGCAGGGAAGAAGCATTACTGTGTTGTTACAAGAACATCACATTCATGACAAGACAACCTGAAGAGCCCCATACACAAGCTGCAGTAAAAACAGTCACACTGGAGAACACTTTAACCACAGATACCCAACCTCACACAAACCACTATTAGTAACGAGATACAGGTCTATCAACTGGCTCAATTTATCTTCTCCTCTCCCAGCTACTAAAGGGGAAATTAAGGTGAGATCCAGCCTATATCAGCAAATCACCAAAAGGTATTAAATGCTGATCAAAAGGAGCTGCCACTGACACAGATTTTTTATCATAATAATAGTATCAGATGTATTAAGCAGTCAATTTATCAGATGGAAGCACCTAGGGGGGAAGCATCAAAAATGAAAAACAGCTTTTAATCTTTTTCAAAGAAATGTTAAAAGAACTTTTTCAAAAGCATAAAATCTCTCTCTCCTTAGAGGTGAACTGTGTATATAACCTAGAGCAGCCTAATTTATTTTAAAAACTTGGTAAGACAAAGAGGACGGCCTTAAGCACTAGCGTCACTCTTTTGGCATACTTTTTTCCCCGTGTTCTAATCCCCTAAAAATCAGGCTTTTGGTGGAATTTTTAAAAGGTAGCGCCTCAAGGTCTTGTATTCCAGACTTTTAATGCTCCTATTTCAGTCTGCTGTCATTAAAAAGAAAATTCATGTCAGAAGAAATTAAAGAATCAGATCACGGTGCCAATACGAAAGCACAGGAGTTTTTAAACTAAATGTATATGCTTTTGTTAGGATGTAGAACATATATGGAAGCCATTATACAATCCATACACTTAGCTGGAACAGAGTTTCCAAGCTCCAGTCTCTTGAAAACCAGCCACTATAGCTTCCCTTTGAGCTAGAAGAGATAGTTGGAAAGTCACAAACAGAATGAGATGAATTATGGAGAAAATAATTAATTGACTCAAAGGAAGGGAAGACAGAATGAATTTAGCACTGAAATAACATTAATACTGAAAGATAGTGAACTTGTCACAAAATAGTAAATTTGATGGAGAGGATATTTTGAGAATTTAACCTTCGTTCACACTTCAAAGCCTTAAAACTCAAAGAGAAAAGAGACATTATAAGACAGGAGACTGCTAATTTGATTTAAATGTCTCAAAGCTTTCCATTTGTCATTCATTCACAAGCTACTTCTATGCATTATTATAGACTGCAAATACCGTCTATATTCTGAACTACAATAAAACACGAACAATTTAACACCGTTTTATCTCCGACCAAAAAGATCAGCTTTGTACTAGCTAGGGTGTAATTTAATGAGCAAGCAAACATTTCAGTTCAGGACCGCAAAGGAAGAGCTTTGTTACAAAGATCTCTGGTAATCAGCCTCCATGTGCAGATGCAGTCTTCTCCTTTTTCTCAAGCTTTGAAGAGTAGGTTTCACAAGTATTAAAGCACATGACTCAGCATTTTACAGCTTGCAGGATATCATGTTTTAAGCCATAGTCTGCATACAATAAAGCAGATGCTTTCTATGTTTATTTTTATAAGCAGAAATGGTAAAACATCCAAGAGACAGCATCACTGTGTTACTTAGCTGAACTGTCTGCTGGTCAATGCTTCCATTTATGACAACACTTGTTCTACAATGCGCTTTTCAACCTACTTGAAATTAAGCGTGCTGCTTCGTAATCTGAAGTATATGATGTACTCTTACCACTGTTATTAAAAATCAGCTATCTATATTCCCATGGTTACCACAAAAATCACTTTGATGGAATGCTGCTTCGTGAGTAGCTTCGTATTTCATACGTACCTGTGGCCAACAAGCAATAAAAAAAGCACTCATAGAAAAAATGACTAATAGAGGAAATATGTGCTACTAGCTAGGAGCAAAAATAATCTGCAAAAGACAAAACAAGTTATCTTTCATGCATGAAAAAGATCTGCTACATACTTCTAGGCTAACCGCAAAGATTTCATTTAAAGAAAAGTTCATTAAAAGTATTAACCATTGTAAATATAGTTACCTTGCCAACATGCTCCAACTACTAGCTGTGTTTCTATCTTTGAAGGATGAAGTGGGTAATCTTCCGTCACTGGGAAAGGATCATATGAAACACCGTCCACATAAAGAGTTACCGCAGGAAATTCAACATTGAGGACATAATGATGCCACTCTTTGTCACACACCTGAGTAAAGAAAGTTTTAAAAATTGTACTTTAATTTTTTTTTTAAATTACAGTTGAATAACTGAGCTGATGCACATTTTCAATATACATACATGCAGACATACTGACAACCTATAAGCCTGTATATTTTATGTTTCACACACATGGCATGCATCCGAAAAACGCAAACCAACTGTCAAACCTTTATAAATAATTTCTTTTCTTCTATTGCCAATATAGGAAGCTGCATCTATTTCCATTCCTTTAATTTTTATAAGATCTAATAACAGCATATTTAAATTTAAAAATACATATCTACATGCAAACACATTCTGAAATACTGCTATAATACAACATTACTTGACAAAGGACCTGTATTTGCTGAGAGGGACTGTTTAGAGAAAAACATGACCATTTTGAATATAAAAAACTCTTCCACGACAGAATTATTTATAGTGAAAGCTGATGAGTTTTTGGAAAGTAACAACCTTCCCATAAGGACATATATGGGCATTTTACCATTAAAACAGTATACATTGCCCTGCACAGACAACAGGGTATAGCTAGCTACGTTAGAAAGTAACTCTTGTTTAGGTAACTGGCAAAACAGACCCATAATAGTAACCTAGAGCAACTAAAAGAACCTTTATAAATTCACATATATACAGGGTTAATTTTATCACTCAGATCCAGAGGGCTAGAAAAGCACACAAAATATTTAGTCCCTGCTGTCTCATGCTTCATGATCATAAACATCATGAATTCATAGAAATAAGTTCTGCAGATCAAAGTAAAGATCAGTTATTACAGCCTTCACTTTCAAATCTAAAATAATCACTAATACATGACTCCAAGAATACAAACAGACAACTCCTCTCTCTAAATAGGAAGCAGAAACCACCTGCATCCCTCAGAGGCCTATTAACTCTATTTTTGTGGAGTAAAATCTAATTAAGAAAACTGATTTGTAGCTACTGCTCGCAATGTGTAAAAAGTCACAAATTTTATTTCAGTGTGAAAAAGGATTAAGAAGTTAAGTTCTTCTGTTATCCTATTAGCACTGTGATCTGCAAAACCGTTGCATGCTCAGAAGTACTTTCATGCTATAAACAACCCAGAATACTTCTTGTTTTCTCATGCACACTACCTTATAGTGCATTTAGTGAAGATAACTGACATCACAGCTAAAAGACTTACATGGTATTTTCACATATAAATCCATATTTTACTACCTTTCAGGACAATGACTTGCACACGAGTATCCCACTGGGTTTAATAAAACCACTAAAGCACTATTTTATATTCAAGATGAAAAGGTATAGCTGAATCTATCTCTGACGCTTGATCACAAATAAAGTAAGTATTGTTGGGTTCTATAAAACATGACATCAAGAGCCTGGAGTTCAAAAAGTATTTAATAATAATTATACTATCAGGGAGTTTAGTCTCTGATGGTTTTCACTGCATTCTAACATCCTACCAGCCGTCCTTCCAAACTTACCTGATTGAGTTTCCAGTGAAATTCAGCAGGTTTGTAGGTTTTCCCCTCTGAAGGATCTTGGCGGAAGAGGAAAACAAGTCGGCAGTTGTGTACATAGAGTGTGTAGTGGTGCCGGTTCATATCTGCACAAGAGTTTTATGTAGAAGTACATCAGGCATGTTAAGAGGAATGAGAAACGTTTGTAATAGCAGTTAGGGCAAACATTCTGTACAATAAATAGACACGTCTATCTCCGAATCCAATCTAAAGCAAGGCATAGGACTGAAGACTCACAGAGATAAACCTGTCAGCAGGAGAGAAAGAAAAATAGCTCTATTTGCAAACAGAAGAGCTTTTTTGTTACAAATGAGTTGCTTCTACCACATTTAATTACTGTTTTGGAACATGTGCACATGATGACAGGTAGACATGCTTTCCTAAGAGAAAACTGTATCGTCATAGTTCTAAAGGATTTATCATTTAAAATAAATACAAAGGTGAGATGCTAGAGAAACAGGTAAGAATAAGGAAAAGAAACATTTTAGCTACATCATCCATTCCATGGCATGAATGAGTCAAGAAAGGAGGGAATGAAAAAATACCAAAATCATGTCAACCTTTCAGCCTGACAGCATTGAATCTTGACTGTATTGTTCCAGTGCGATATAGTCAAAATTGCCTCCCCCCAACAAACCTAGTTCCAGTCTTTCGATAGTGCATAATATATCATTGCAATGAAGGCAAATGATATTTATTACCAGAAACTATTTGTCGCAGAAATTACATGGTTAGGTCAAACCAAGGAATAAAAAAGGAAAACTTGTTTTGAAGGTCTGCTACCCATGTACTTTAAAACAGGAAACACTGTATTTAAATTTGCCTTTTTTCTCCAGTTCACTTACTTCCATGAATCCAAAGTTTTGGGGTTTGATTAACAGGAATGGGTGAAGGTAGCGGAAAGAGGAAAATATTTGTACCTGGTTCTGAATGACAGTCACTTTTCTCCTGTTCAAAGAAATGCTTCTAGGATTTTACAAATACTGTTAAATCTTTCTTATTTTCAAATAAAATTTAAAATATATTCAGCGTAGTTTCCTTTGAAAAACCTAGCAGCATTTTAAATGAAGTATCTTTCTAATACACTGAACAAATCCACTGCTCCAGCTAACAAAGACAAGAATTCTTTTACCCCCATTATACAGCAATTATGGAAACAGGGTTATCCAATTTCCTTCTTATTAATAGCATCTTCAAAATGATTGTGTCTGTAGCATTCACAGAGAGTGAAATTATGCACAGGGTGAAAAAAACACCACTGGAGAAAGAGAAATTATCTCCTAGAAAAAAAAGATATAGTAGCAAATGCCGTCACTAAACCTGATATATGTATCTTAATGATTTTAGGCAGCATCAGGAATAAGGCTGTCTTTGGAGATGCAAAATTGAGACTACATTGCCAAAATAAGCCATCTACCACGGCAAAAAGAAATGCATAATATAAATTGAAATAGAATAAGAAAAAACAAGGTTGCCTAATCTGAAACTGAAGCCAGATAATCTAAGGCCATGCCCCTATAGATAAGCACAATAAAGAGCGACTGTTGCAGTCCATTTCACTTCCAAGAAAAACCTAACCTAGACAAAAAACTTAAGGTTCTCACGCTGCCACAGCATATAAAAACAAACAAACAAACCCCAACAATGAGACTGCTTATATTTGAAGTATTGACAAACCTGTCTTGTCTGAATTGCACAGAATTGTCTCTTTCTCTTTGGTTCCAGGCCCATGCCTCATCCATACTGAAATCATGAAGGGCTCTTTTAGATTGACTGTGACAACGCCATCTGGAATCTTCACAGCTTGCGTGCCATTAAATTCAAAGACTTGGTCACTGTCATGACCATTATCGGTAGGAAGTCCTGTTGTCCAGTTAGCAGCACTACTTGGAGGGGGAAGAAGTTCAGCTGTACCAGAAGAAGCACCTACAATAAAAACGCTCAAATGAGAAAACGTAGAAACTAAAAAGATCACCGCTAGTTTCAAACCAAACTGTTTTTCTGAGCACTAATTTTTCAGCACCAACAGTCAGGATTACGCACTACCATCACACATCAAGCAATTCTCCTTTTAAATAATGTGGCACTAATAATAGACATCTAATATCACGAGGACTTTGTAAATTTAACTTTTGGGTAGTCGACTAATTTCATTGAAATTGCTTTGCTTACTATCTCTATGGCCGTAGAACCTTATTTCACCTCTATCTCAGGAACCATTACATTAATACCACTTGTCCCTCAGGCCCATGAACATGGAGCCTTTCTCTTTGACACTATACTAGTTGTAAGACTAATATCCGTCCAGCTGAAGAGGGCTGCATAAGGATCCCCGCCCAGATCACTGTCTAATAATATAGTCAGGAGCAATGATACCCAGCAGGTACTGGGCTTGCTGGTTTTCTCCACTTCAAGCCTAAATCATTAACATCACAGTGATCTAAATCAGGGAATAGCTTAGGAATTGCCTGGGTCTCTAGGGTTACACCGTATTCATGCTTTCAACTAACTTCAACTAAAGTTGAAGACATAAATCAACAGTGATAATTTGTCCTGTAATCTCAATTCTTCCATACTGGCTACAAAGGATTTGTACACTTTTGGTAAGACCTTTAACTGCAGCATACGCGGATGCCAATGCGCCCTTTGTTCCTAGGGCAAGCACAGTATAAATTTAACTGATGGAAGTAAACTGTTTTTTCCAAACCACACTTTCTTGGTTTTCACCACGCATCCTTCACATCCCTCAGAAAAACAGAAAGGTTTTAATGGCTATACCCTTCCGTGTGTAACCACCTTTCAGCTCTTGAACATGAATCTCATGTGAGGGAAATTATTAGTCTCTATAAGCTAGTGGAGAGGCAGAAGAAAGGGATTCTTTACTGCAGTTGAGATTTTAAAAGTCACCTTCAGCCAATTTCATGCTTTTTATTGCCTGCTAGGCAAAAAGTTGGAGGAAACTGCATGCAAATGAAGACCATATCCACTCGTTGATTTGTGGTCTAACATAATATTCAAAGAAAAACTAGTAAGCAAGAGAGACCACTGGATTTTAACAAAAGCATTCTTACCACAGAGTCTGTGAATGGATTTCTCAGAGTAGGTGTCTCTATCACAGCCTTTACCAATATGGTTGGTTTCTAGTTCAACCGTTGCTTGAATTGAGGTTATTGGCTCATCGCATGTCTCCAAACGCATACTGGGGAAGAGAGCTAACGAACCAGTACCAGGCTCATATTCTATTCTTTTGCTCCAGCCTGTGTATTTATCCAAAGAAAAAATATTAAAAATCTCTCACGTTTAACTGAAGGTACTGGCAAATGCTAAAAGCAGATAAGGAGGAGATCAAACTAACCTTGCCAGCCAGGCTTGCATGTAGGCTTAATGCTAATTTTAACCAACACATCCTCAGCAGCTCTCTTCTTCCCACAGTCATACGCTGTTACTGTCAGTTTATACTGATGTTCTTTACCATAGTTTAACTTTTCTGTGTTTTTTATATAACCTGACGCAAAGAAAAAAAAAATATATATATAAAAAAAGCAATAATCAGACGTCAGTATCCACTCATTTCTCAGGGCCATTGCCGCACTGAATGCATCCAGGTACCACCTATGTACTTCACACAGGTACCAAGACTTTAACAGACACGCCTGCAAGTGAATTAGCCCTTCGCTATTTGACTTTTCAATGCCAGACATCAGGCCCAGATCCTTAAAAATTACATAAATGCAGAGATGAGCACACATACACAGAACATCAGGCGCTTTAAATAGTGTATGATAGTACTCAAAATGAAACTGCTCATAGGTGGTAACTGATACATAAATTGTATGGCATGTGCCAGGATTCTCTAACTTTTTTAAAATTTGCACATCCATGAAAATTATCCGTTGGCAATGTGGATCCCCCAAAAACTCAAACTAAAGGCCACTAAAACTGTTTCACTTTGCTTAATCAGCTTGCTTGAAACCCTAGAAGTAGTTGATACATTTTGAAGGGTCCGCAGATCACTGGTGGAAAGGCAATGACCTAAACAAATCACCACACTTCAAAACCAATAACCATGATACTCTAATCTCCAGAGCCACATATGAGCATCTTAGATGTGAAAAGCACACACATGGAATCCTATTTTGAAAGCTAATTAAGCAAAACCTCTCCTAATACAGAACAGAAAACTACAGGCAAAAAAAAAAGCCTACTAAGAGCTGGTTTAAAACATAATACAGCTACAAAATTTCCTTTATTTTGAAAAGCATTTTACAAGAAACACCACACAGGCAACACATCATCTGCTCCTTACATCCATAGATAGCATGTGCTATTGGCACTGAAAGACATCTCGCTTCTCAGTATCAATTCAAACGGCTAAAGTGAACACCTCCATTCAACTATGTTGTAGGAAAGGGTTAAAACAGAGTTGCTGTAGTTTTATGCTGACCAGTTTGAAGTCCTATTCTTAGGGCAGCAAATTACAGTAATTCCCACTCCATCTCACATCGTATTCTTACCATCTTTGTCAATAGCAAAAGGTACATCCGGAGTTACAATTTCATAATTGCAAATCTGGCTGAATTGAGGTGAACAGTCTGCATCCACGGCTTCCACTTTCAGGATATTGTCGTACCTCTTCCCTTCAATAGCCGTTGCCTTGTATGACTTCTCTTTGAAGACAGGAGCATACTCATTAACATCGTTCACCTGAATATGTACTGTTGCTCTGGAAAGAAAACAGAAAGGTCGTTTCCTATATATTGCAAAACTCCTATTCATGCAAGGAATCTGGTAAAACAGCTCCCTCTTGTACCAATGAAGCTATCCTTCACAATTTAAGCTCTCTGAAAGAAGTGACCAATGACTAATAAAACTAATAATCTCAGCTACCCTAACTAGGAAAGCAGTGGATATTTTTCCACTGTGTTGCTATATAATTCAGTGTAGTTTTAGGTTATTGCTTACTATTGCTGTTTATTTGCAAATTAAATTCAAATTCTTGCACTGCAACTATTAAATTGCCACCATTTTACAGAAATACAATGAAATACAGCTGTGACAAAACAGACTTTTACTTTTGTTAAAACAGTACAATCCTTCAAGTACTTTCCTGCCGTCAGAGTATTTGACATAAACACCCAATTTTTATGTCATGTGAACAAGAATGACAGTTAAGACTGGTCTTAGACTAAGAGCTCAGTCAAGTGCATTTGATTAGCTTTCTCTTGGTAATAAAGTTCTGAGCTGTGTCAGTCAGTGAAAACCGGCTTATTTCTTGGGTGTAGGAATGGGAGATCAGGCAATTTAAATGGAGGCATTACAGAAGTGAAAGATACACTTTAACACATCGTACAGCTGGCGAGGTAATCCTAAACAGATTGGATCTTGAATTCTGTCCTTTCATGCTTGTCACCGATTGCTGGTATATAGGAAAATAATGCGGTTTCTATCAATGACCAAGGAGAAAAGGTGAATAACAAAAAGTATCTGGAATGTAAACTAATAAAGAATTCAGTCACTACAGTCCTTCCATAAAATCAAGTTTTCTAATGCTCATGCTAAAAAATAAGGTTTTATTTTAACCTATGTGCTAAATAAATGCACGAAAAATGGCCTTCTATACCAAACGCTTTATATTCCTGACTTTAAGAGCTAAACTCCAAGATGGTTAATAGCCACAAAAAAACATAACACACACAGCCATGGGGCTGGGAAAATTTCAACAGTGGTTTGTAGGTGCAGGTCTTGGAAACCCATTCTGCTGTGGGAAAATAAGAGTTGCAGAGCATGCTGCTAGATCTGTACTGGTTCATTACATAGCCACGAATTTGGATAACCAAAATCAATTAACCAACACAGGTAGAAAAATATAGATAAGTTCTACAGTGCGGAAAAGGAACTGTACACTATCAAACTGAACGAACAACGTAATTCCGGTCAACCCAACAAAACATTTGTTGCTATCTTTCTCTTTGAAATCTTTCTTTAAAAGACAAACCGAATACCAAATAGAGTTTAAGGGCATACCTATTTTCCATAAGTGTAATCCTTAAGGAGATAACTTTCTGGTGCTTATTTGAAGCATACAGCTATAGAGTTACAAGGTTGTATTTGTCACCAAGATGACTGCTGCTAGTCTATTCCTCATCTTATTTATGCCCTTCTTTGCTTCACACAAACAGTAATCTTCCACATGCTCTGCAGATGTTTACACCAGGGTGTTAAACAGTTATTCTCAAGTGGATTTTCAAGAGAGCGTTCCACATTGTGGTTTTTTCTTTAGATAAAGCTTAGCTAAAGATTGCTTTGTTCCCATTCTTTAATCTAGGCAGAGATGAACCTTATGCTATCAATCTTGCTTGTTTTGGTGAGGCTATCTGGAAATGACAGCAACGTGTATTCTCTTCCATTTTGTCAAGTTTAATACAGATTGACTTCTTGAACCAGTTTTTCAGTTTTAGAAACTGAATTCTGAAACAATGTCGAAGCTTGGTATCCCACGCAAACTCTTTATATCAACTCAAGCCAGATTTTAACTGTATCAACAGTTTTCCTGCTTCTATCCCCACACTATTTTCTAATGTAAATTCAGAGACGTCAAGGGATAAAGCAGTATCACCTAGAATAGAGCTAAATAGATGTCAAAACAGTTCATTTCCGTTTTGCTGCCATTTGTATTACATTATATGAAAGTCTTCCAGTATTAACACTTGGTTTACATTTACTCTAAACACATAGACCATAAATCACCATGAGCAGGAGACCACTTGAAACCAAACTTCCCCTCAGCCCACCACGGATTTACTTACTTGTGGGATTTTTTTGCATTTGCTCCATCTGGCCCCTTCCCACAGTCATAGGCCTGTATGGTGAATGTGTAGTCCTTCTGTAGTTCACAGTCAAGCTTTTCTTTAGAGCGTATTATCCCCTCACCAGTGGATTTATCCACTACCACTGCTTCAAAGGGAACATTTTGCCCGTGAATTTTAAATCCACAAATCTCACCTACAGATTCAAAGTCAGAGAGGTTAGAACTGGTCAAAATTGTTACATATTTTTTAAATAAATGATGAAATATTTTGCAGCCAAGGGTTTGTGAGGGTCTGTGGACAAAGCAAGAGCACTGTGCTTTAAAATGGGTGATTTCTGGGAACTTTAGTAAAAAGAAGCATATGTCTGCCTTCCAAGCAACTTGTTTACTTTGCATCCATTCATGCAGGAATACAAAAGAGAAAAAGAGAAATGTAGACAGGCATTTCACAGGAGTACTTGAGATAGCTCTAGGGTAAGAGTAGATCTTATGAGAGCATACAGCCAAGGCCACTGGTACTATCTTCTATGCCAAGCTACTCGGAATAGCTGGGCAGCTTGTTTATTTTGACCAGAGCAAAAGGTTAAAATGCACGGTTACAAGTCAAGGGATGAAAAAGCTTCAAGTACAGGTTCAGCACCATAATTACAGAAATTCTGTCAACAGATCAAAGAACAAAGTCTTCCTGTGCAATGTACCTGGCTAAAATTAGGGAATCAAAATAAACTACTGAATGAGAAAGGTAGAAATACCAACTTCTCAGGCATCCATTTCAACAGCTATCTACTAACACAGACCAAACATGTCAGTCAAGGAACCTCTCGGATGGAATGATTTAGTAGGCTTTCCTTTCCAGTCAAACTCTTCATCCTACCACGCTAGCAAGAGAAGTCCCTAGTACATAATTTTAAAACACATCTAAGCCTAAGGTTACACTCCAAGACCTCTTGCTGGCACAGCTAGGTCAGTCTGTCGGCACGTTACATGGAGTGAGCCTAGCACACCTAGCTGTGCTAACAAAAGCCACTCGATGGACAGTTTGATCACCTACGCTGTGTTTTTACCTGTATAACTTGTTACGTTTTGAAGGTGATTTTCTTACACCAACATAAAACGCTATTTTGCTATTATAGCTGCAGTGGTATCATAGTACCAAGAATGCACTCCTCCTGTAAACATGTCTAGAGGTATTCAAAAAAAGGTATTTCACTCGGATTTTAAACTACTGAAGTAGGTACTGAAGGAAGTATACTGCAGGGAAGGTGGTACAATGCTTTGGCAGATAAATATTACTTTACAAAGCATATGAAAAAACTTAAGATGTCCCAAAGAAGTAAGCTATCAGTGGAAACATGAGAAAACGCTGATTTTCCCAAAAACAACAACTTCAGCGTCCATACCACGTACAATAATCCCAAATGGTTCAAATGGATGTCTGATTTACAGATATTTCTAACCAAGGGTTTGGTTACATAACAGTCTTTATCAATATATCTTAAAATAGAAAAAAACTGGGAGAATAAATGGGACAAAAGAGCATGACAGGATCTTCTGTTTAAGTGCTGATTCCCCATTTCATAACCAAAGTTAGTAGGTTAATATTCATAAAAGGGATAGAAAGAACCCTTTATCACCTTCTTTGGTGACTGTCACCTCAAAACTCTCTAAAGGGAGAAAAGATAAACCCAAGTCAGTAACAGAAAAGGTTGAAAGGGAGCAAATAAGGAAAAGGCAGAGAGGCACACATTACACAGAAAAGCTTTGGAAAAATTGTAATTTAAAATTCCAGTGGTGATTTGCTGTAACTGTTACAATTTTAGAGTTTTAGTTAGGTTAAATATGATTTAATCTTTTAACTCCAGGTTGTCGTTTGTAGAATTTTGAAGTATTTAATAAGTTTATCAAAAGGCTTTTTTCTTTTTTTTCCTTTTCTTTTTTTTAATACCAACTGCTAAACAAAAGATATTTTCAAAATTCCATGGTGATGAAGAACTATCCATAAAGTAGAATTTTCATCAGAATTTATTTGTACTATTCTATTTAAAGACGACATGTTAAATAATTTAAACAAGCCTTCATCTATTATATTGAAACCACCGTGTTTCTACAATTAAAGAACTTCATAGTCCCCCTTTTGAGTTCCAGGAAAAAAAAAATTAAATAGTCGTGAGATTTTTGTGTTTCCACATAATTTTTTAATCGGTCTAGCTTTTATAACACCTAGCATTTGAAAAATTTAAATTCTACATCAAACTCAACTTGACAGTATTGCCGCAATTCATGATTAAAAAATATACACATTAAATTGTGATCCTAACGAACAGAAAAGCTTTGATGTAAGAAATGGGGGGAAGCTATATATTTTCCTAGCAGCGTATTGTTTTTCCATGTTAAACAAGCAACCAACAGCTTCTGTCATTTTGTTCTACTGCTGAAATACTGTAATGCTGGACAGCAGAGATTCAGGTACTGAAATATATTCATCTGCTGGTACTGGGGATGCCCTGGAGGAGCCTGCCTTGCCCCCTCCAGCCACTCCAGAAAAGCACAGGCTTCCCCAGTGTCCTGCACCTTCCACGCTTACGAGGAGATCTCAGATATAACTGAGTTTTACAATGGTATCAGACGATTGTGATAGGCACCTGGAATAGTTTCACAGTTTTAATGAAAATACAGTTAACCCTGTTCTTCACTCCCCTGGAAATCATAATCTGTGAAAACTTCAAACTACCACCTTTTACATATCATCCAATATATCAAGTATTTTTTCCTGATTACCATCATCTTTGACCTGAATTCCGGTACAACAAAGCAGACCTGTACCCTTAAAATCACTTCTAGCAGATCTCCTGTTAATTCTCACATATTTCAAACAACTTGCAGTAACACAGTTATTCAAGTCTCCATTCTAGAGTGGCCTTAAAAAGAGATGAGGCACTCTTAAAAAGGCAAATTTACAGTTTAATATTGAAACAGAAATATAATTAAGGAAAAATGCCTTATAATGTATGACAATTAGTAGTCCTTCATTTTAAAAGGAGACAGTTTCTGAAACAGCTCTCATTAGGTTCTCCCTGAAACTCACTTCAGGTAATCCCTAGATTTATAATCGGCTCTTTATTTTAATGCACCAAGTATGCTGCCTCTTGTGGCACCCACATAATTTATTTCAGTCTATTCTTACACAGGATATAAATATAACCCCAGATTTCAATGTGTTTTGAGGATAGAATCATTCAAGAAAATTTTACACTGCTTAAATTCGTGGCTGACACCACTGATTAGCCAGAAGTGACATTCCAACTGCAAGCTTTTAAATATTCCACATCTCCTACTCCTGTACACCCTCCTCCCTGCCCCCTTCCCGTGACTCTAACCTCAAGAGTCAAGCATTGTGCGTGAAACATTAAGATTACAGGAAAAAAGGTATGGAAGGGCACACTAACACAGAAAGCCTGACAATGGAGAGAAGAGAGAAAAGTATATTAATGTGGCAATTGCCTATTTGGGAGAAGGGGAGGCTGTTTAAAAACCGGTCAGTTCTTTTATCACCTGAAGTGACCTTTAACTCTGGCACCAGCACCAATTTGGCTGCTAGGATGTTCAGGCATTATATTGTTGGCTCCTCAGCATAAGACATAAATAAGCCCTCCAGTAAATAGCCATGCGTCTCCAGATGCTTTTTAAGGTGTAATGCTTCAGTTCGAGGCTCAATTCCTGCCAGATGTTTCTCAGAACAATAACTGACCCGATACAATCCTATTTGCCGCTTCACACACTAGTAAGATTAACAAAAAGCCCTTTTATTACTATCTAGACAAGGTTCTTGTGACTGAAAAAGTTATAATGCATAAAAACTATGGTGTTACTTATGATATAAGTGCTCTAAATAAGCAAATGCAGAGCTCCCAACCTAACAGGCTTTTTAAGCTCCCTTCTTCAAAAGTCTCTCTGCAATGAAAAGAAACAAAAAGGAATAATTGTCTGAAGTACAAAATATTTTAAAAATTAAAGCTCCCCTCCTTTCTCAAAAATATATTACAGACTCTCACAGAGCTGTTTCAAGACAAATAAGACAATTTGCAGATTAATATTCCCATACACGGATGATATTCCTTTTCATCTCCGTTACAAAATGCATATATTTATATAGTATAGGTGAAGCTCCTCTGTGATTATAGAATTCTTGGCAGTGAATTTTTTTATTGCCATTAAGGAAGCTTAGTCCCGCATCATGCTCCCTAAGGTTTCACGCTACGTCGTACGTGCTTAATGCTTCTTCTCATTTCATTCTGAAGTTGAGATACAATACTGAAATAAATTCCTACCACTCCTAATCTTAGAACAGAACGATGATCAATCTGTAAATTAGTTTACATTTGATATATTGGAAACTGTTCAGCTAAATAAACTGTAACTAGGATAGAACTTTACAGCGTTTCACTCAGCTGGAGCTACAGTTGAAAAAACCATTTCATTTTACAGATAATACATTTGTGGAAGTTATGTTAGCCAGAAAACACACAGTAATCCTGTATCCTAAAGCCATTCCGTATTTCTCCTTTCTAGTGTAGCACAATCAAATGACAGTGAGGATCTGGTAGAATGTTAAGTTTTGCTGATTTTTACTGTTTTCTCTCTTTCTGTACTGTTATGATATAATGATGTAAAATAATTATATCACGTAATTATAAAAAAGTTGTTCATAACTGGACATACAGTATTTGAGTAGACACTCTCCAAACTTGGGAGTCAGCTATCCCTCTACATTTCCATTCCACGGAAGGAGAGGAAGCATATTCCCCCCCGGCTCCAACCAAGCAGCAGTCTACACGAGGATCACGGAGAGCCTTCAGGAAAGCCTCCCATTTCAATGGCTCCTAAACAAGTATTTCTTAGTACCATACGAAACTTTTAAAAAGTGAACCAATTTTAAATTTCACAATAACTCCATTTCAGTTTGTATCTGTATACATGATAGGTACAAAACAAAGTGTCACTTCATGCATGCCTTAAATTTGATGCAAAAATGGCTGAAATACTATTGGAACAAAAAATTCCTCTTCGGTTTGCCAGCTGGCTGTGCAACATATTTGTTGTACACTCACTGGATGTGACAAGATCAAAATCTTTATCTGTTTGATTACACGGTGTCATTCATCTTCTCTACATATCATTTCTTTATACCCATCACCCAGCCAAGCGCTGCGTTACAGACGGGCCTGCTGCAGACAGGGCGTCAGCACAGCTCCCTGCCCTAAACAAACACGGGGCGACGGCGCAGCGTGGAAACACGGCATCAGCACTCGCCCGCCGCAACGCGCGAACCCCACACGCCTCCGGGGAGAGGCGGACTGTAAGGCTGGGTGGATTTCTGGGGGGCTTTTAAAGAATGAATACAGATTCTGCAAGATTATTTTCCAAGCTCTATGCATATTCATGCTCTAAGTCAAAAAATTCCTAACCCCCACAAAAATACTTCTTGCATCCCAGATTAGAAAGGGGAAAATAAAGTATTGTGGCTGAGAAGTGGTTTTCTCTAGGGCTGGGGTGGAGGAAGAGGGATTTAAACCCTGCTAGAGACACGTCAAAAATCCAAGGAAACATTTCCTTCCACAAGGGAAATATTTCAAACACCTTGCTAGCAAGACCCTGCGTTATACTCTCGTAACAAAACATATTCAGCTATGTGAAGGCATCCAGATACAATTTTGTTTGTTTCAAATGCAATAAAAATTCAGTTCCTTTTTGCATAGTAAAGGGGAAAATCCATACTCAGAGCTTCAGACATTAAACTGATTTTGGACATGAATTACTCTAATGTGCAATAGAAAAAGTAGCTGTCCTTTGTTGTATTTTTTCAGCAAAACAATTCCGGATCAAATTCCAACATGACTGAATTTGTAATGCAGAAAAGCTTCACTGAAGAAGGAGAACAGTCACTGTCTTCTCAAGCAGATCTGTAAGAACCATGGTACAAGAGACTGATTCCACAGAGCCTCTGCGCATCGGGCAGCACGATGAGGCAACCTGGCATTCAAACCCTGTTTTCAAAAGTGTGTCGTTTCAGATGTAAAACCATAGAAATTACCCTAGAAATAAATGTCTATTTGACCCTACTTATTTTTGCACACCTGAATTTTAGGATCCTACCCACAGAATACTTCTACTTGCCCCAGACTTCATGTACTACAAAGCATTTAAATGAACTAGTTTCAAGATGTTTCAACATGCTCAAAATTGAAATAAAGCAAAAAGCTCTACTTAAAACATTTTAAACCTGCAGACAGTTCAGAAGTTTAACAGCTCAGCTAGGGGGCACAGTTAATGAAAATATCCAACCTTTTGAAGCATCAATAAATTTGATTTATAAGTAGGAATATCCTAGTTAGGGATGAAACAGCCCTGAAAACGCTTTGTTTTGCTGTGAAAACATGTCACTGATCTAATGGGCTTCTCACACTTAAACACCCACATAGATGCTGCTGGACAATAACGAGGCTATTCTCCGTTCTAGGACATGACTACAGCACCACCAACTAGAACTGGTAACGCTGATTCAACATCACTCCCACATTTGGTCTCCTCAAAGACAGATTCAAGTATTGTTCCATTTAATGGCAGACAAATACTTTTACAGATTCCCATAGCACAGTCATTCAAAATTTACGCAATTCAAATCTAACAGAGTGATAGCGAGGAAAATTTCTTTACAACAGTAGCGTGCTATACTCAGAATTTAAGATAACTACTTTAAATCCATTGTTCTGCTGCTGCTTAAGAATTGTTAGTTTTTGAAAGCCAAAATATATAATGTTTATACAAATGTTTAATAAATAAAACCAACTTCCTGTTGGTGAAAATATTCATTAAATGAAGGCAGGCTTATACAATTTAGATCAACGCAATGGAAAAGCAGTCTCATTTGAATTTGACATTGGATTTTCCTCTGCAAATCTGACAAGATATTTGAAGCTATTCTGCCAGTACTTTCTTAAAGCTTCATGATATCCAGCACTCAAGAAAACTTTACTATCCACCAAGAAGTACAAATTGCCATTTTCAAAATCTGTTCAATGCTGTCGAACTACGAGCACCGATATTTAAAGCACTAAAGAACTGCAAGAGATTATTCACATTCTCCTAATCACCAAGTACGCAAGTCAGCCTTCCTGTAACTCTTTTTACTTAACAGATTTTGTGTATCCCAACACAAGTGTCTTCATTTGGAAATGAAAAGGTTTTTTTGTTCGCAGGCAGCAGTTTTATTTCCAGTTAAGATCACTTAAGAGCCTCTGCCACGTGTATCCAATACATGAGAAAGTTTGAATTTCAGAGGTTTACCGTTATCTCCGAACTTCCTGAATTTATAACGCAGCCTTGGAGATAATTACAGCCTTATAATAATGCAACAAAACTGTTACTTAAGTACCACTTTAAGAAATTGTGACCGAGTTGCCACACTACTGTAGCACACAATGCAGTTAGCATGCTGAACATTTCAAGTGGCTGTTAATGTAATCACTCCCTGTTTCCATCACTTCCCCCTTGAAGCCAGGCTAAGCGATGTTCCCAAAATGGCTAACGTCACATCCTCTAGGTATTTTACTAGGATTCTTCACTCTAAAATTTTACTTAACCAAGTAAGCTTCTGCAAGTATCTAATTTAAGCTTGTGTTATCCTCTGCAACTAATTTAAATACCTGCAGATGCCTGATGGTATTCTTCACATACAGTTTTCTAATATTTTGTCAAACCAAAAATGTACTTTCCATAATACTGCATCCAATTAACGAATACAGTATTCTTAAACAGTAGTTTCCAGAAAAAAACTACTGTGGAAGTTTGTAAGAAAACTGTCATCTGTCAGTCCTATTTGAAAGTGAAGAATTAGCCTACGTTTTGCAAATGGCTTGTGTATCATTCTCTATATTCTTTGTTAGAGGAGAAAAAGCCTTTCCTTCAGGTAGAAGAGGCTGCCCATTTTTTAGAATACCTGAAACTGTTAAGCAAGCTTATCACAGAAAGTCTCGATTTCTACAGGAATTCTCAGTCCAAATACTGCAGAGAAGAAATGCAATCTTAATTCTACTAATTACTGTTTTCCATCTATTAAGACACAAACAAAAAAAACACTAAGAAAACCAAAAACTGTCTTCAGAAGGATAAGAAAATGATTTTCAGAACTCCCAGACTGAATGCTGTGAAATGTGGAGTCCAGAGGACTGAGGAAAAGGTTAGACACTGGGGGGGGGACGACGGATGGACACGACACACACAAAACCCAAAAATAACAACAACAAAAACCAAACACACCAGAAAAATTAACATATACACATGAAATTGAAAGACGCACAGAATATCTCCAATATAGAGTACTCTCTGGTTTGGATATTTGGATATAATTGCATATTTACGCCTGTAAATATGAAATGAAACTCTGGTCCATGCACAAACATTTCCTAGGGTCTAAAAGCTTTGAAACATTATGCTACTGTTAGGGAAAACACAATAAATAACACACAGCATTTGTCATCAAGACAGCATTTCCACTTCTTAAAAAAAGAAATGGAGATGAATTCTTTACCTGCAAAACGCAGAGGCGCATCTTTGTCCAGGGCTATTAACGGGGGGTCCAAGAGCACCGTGTTGTCATTTTCTGTAACTATACCATGATAGGTTGTTTCAATCCATGGCTTATGCTTGTTAACTGAAAGGAAAACAAAGTACCAAGTCAAAACGTTTGAAACTGACAACTTCTTTAAAAAATGCTTTATAATACTGATTTCAATATTTCCCTCTTTCATTTTTCTAAATCTGAATCAGCATTTTACTAAATTAAAAAATTTGAGACAAAATCCTGGCTAAGTATCTTCAGAAGAGTTCAGTGTCCCTCTAGGCTTTCCAAAAGTAACTCCGAGAATCTAAATTAGTCTCTTAACTATGCTGGGATTTAAGATGCCCCTGAAGTGCAATTCAAAAACCTTGTAAGAGTGATGGGGAGCCGCTGACATCAGTGCCAAGCGTGACAGTAAAAAAACTGTATTCAGCACAGGACGAAAAAAGACTGGCCAACATGAAACACAAGGGTCTGCTGACACTCTACTTCTCACCAACTTGGAAAACTTGGGACTCAGTTGGTGGACTATTCTTCAGAATGTGAAGGCATTTTCTAGTTTCAGCATTTTGTCTTGTATGGGGGTTTTCATTAGAGAACACGTGGAAAAGAGATCAAACTTCACTAATTTCTACACAAGGCCTAAGGACACTTGCCAAGGAAACAAACAGGGAGCGACAGATGTTTCTGTCCCAGTGTAAGATCTATACCTAGAACCTTTATTATCAGTTTTAGCAGTCACTGATATGGCACCCCAGGTAAAGGGGGACTCCAGGAGTTCTGCTGAAGCAGGGGAACTATGCAAAATGGAAGAAAGGGAGAGAGAGGAGAGGCAATGGAAAAGGGCAAGACACCAGCTTCGCAGTCCCACACCTCGGCTGCAGAGACACAACACAAGCGTTCCAGGCCCTTCTGGGTTTGGAGGACTTGTACTTTGTACTCTCTAATCCAATACATGCCTAATGCAGATTTCAAATGCTACTGAAAGAAGGGACCAAAATCTCAGGCCTTTTCTGTCATCTAATAGAATGCCTTGAAATCTGAGTAAAATACTGACTACTTTTTATATTACTTATATAGTAGTTGCTTTAGGAGACTGGGAAACAAACTCCACTAAAAGATCGCCCATAAAAGCATTCTTCAACTCTGCATAGAAGAATCTATAAACCGATCCCTTGAGCACATTTAAGATGACTGGTCTCCTTCCTCTGCTGCAAAGAAATGCAGTATCTTGCCTTGTCAGCTTGCAAAAATAGTTTTTTCTAGTACATCATGAATTATGCGAGACAAAATCCTACGTTATCTACTAGGTTATCATCTACTATAATATGCGACAATCCAACGCAAGAGAGCCTTGATTATTAAGTATTTATGTTATGATCTCCAAAGATAAATACAGTTTGTAATCCACAGAACCAGTATATGTGGTGTAACAACTAATTCTTCTTGACAGCTGAATATATTGTTTCTTTTGGTCTAGCGCTCTTCGTGCTGAGGTTCTACATTCATCAGTTTCACCTAAATTGTTTTGGGCAATGTATATCTGCTACTTCAAAACACCTCTTAGGCTACCACATACTCTTGCTTCATAAATTAATACTATTTTCCCAGATCTAATTCTGGAAGGTTGTACGTATCTAGCTGCTTAGAACCCACGGAAAACATTCACCTAGAGGGCCAGAAAACTGCTCCTTGCCATACAAAACCAAGTCACCTTCAGCAAATGATGTATAGTCAAACATAAGAAATGCTTGGCTAGAGGATGTAACAAACATACCAAACAGCAGTCAATAGGTGGTACCACCCAGATTTTGGTCTTCATGAGATCAAGTACTTACAACTTCTGAAATAAATGCCTGTGCAATCACAGCAAAGTATATACTACAGCTAGAACACTATTACACGGTTGAGCCCTGCTATTTCACTTCCCTAAAGAATTACATAAGCAGGTTGTCAAAGGAGGCAGAGATGTAAGGCTAGCCTAGACTTTTGAATCCTGCTTCTCCAACAAACTAAAATGGATTCATGATGTCTGTCATATGCTTACCCAAGGGAATTAAAAAAACGGTGATAAAAGGATACTTAAATGATTAAACCTAGAGGTAGAGAACTCATACAGGAAACCATAATACTCTCCCAATATGCTTTCATCTGCAATCTTTTACTGGTTAGTAGCAACAAACTGCTAAACAAGATATAATATCTTCATACACAATAATGCAGCAAGAGAGAACTCACAACAAACTACTTTAATGCAAAGTGTTTAATTACCGCCGTGTGGTTTTACTCAATATGGCAACACTATTGCCTCAATACACTCACACGGGGATGCTTTCAATATTCAGCATACCAAATAGCCAGCTAAATGTCAGCCACATTGTTCTATTTACCCAGAGAAGTACACTGCTGCAGCACCCTCCAAGGAACTCGGCATTTTAAAACAAACTTCGTCATGCTCAAGAGGACTAACACATCATTCCTCCCTCAGAAGGAAGGCACCAATAACTGCTACAGTGTGGGTCTCCAATTGAAACAAGTCTCTCATTTCAAATCTGGTCTAAAGTGTTTCACTAATACAGTTACACCTCAACGGAACATATCAGAGTCCTTTCATCTGTTCATCTTAGTCTTTGCAAAGACCTCGTATAAAATACTACAACAGATCTCTGCCAGAAAAAACTCCACCTCCATTCTAATGCTTCTGAACGTAGATTACATTTTTTTTTTTTAAGCATTCAGAAACCTTCTCCTAATTTAGCAACCTGCAGTAAATCCCACTGCTGTAGGGTAGAGAGTTCAATAAAAGCTTGAAGTACTGTAACCACATATGAACAGAATTATGAGTATGCTAAGCATCTGCAGAGTCTAGCGAACCTTCAAACAACAGGCCCAGTTAAAAGCAAAGTCATGTCCTTTTATTGTGCTGTAGACAATAAAATCATAAAGCTTAGAGCCCTTTGTGTTTAGGAAGGCTAAAACATCACCAGATTTTAAAACATAAAGCTTAAATCCCTTTGTGTTTATGAAGGCTAAACATCACTGGATTTTACAACACCAAACTTACTGCTGAATATTCAGGAAAGGCCCATTATCCATATTTGTGATCTACTGACTCTAGCATAACCAGACACTGTAAGAAATTCTCAAGCTAGCATTTGAAATATGAGGCACAACTTACGAACAATACATTACTGCTTTCCTTGAACCAACCGCAAAATTGCGCCAAGTATTATTCTGATCTCAGTTGACTTAAACATTATTAAATGTTGGACTGAAAACTATCCTTTCACATTTTTTTCCTCTTTAATTGTTACAAAATTTGTGAAATCTACAGAGAAAGTTGTTCAAAGCCAGACTGTTAATTTCAAACCAAAACAGTCGGCCTATTCCAAACTTGACACTAACAAAGTGCCCTGAGCTGTTAATCTCTTGCCATTTAACTGGGATAAACTACACCGCTTTCCTTGAAATACAATATTCACACTATTTGTAAGCGCCTCAACTGGAATCTGTTGTAAATCCCAACTAGCATTTAATCTAGTCAAGTAGAGGAAGCTACCCTGGCACAATACAGCAAGCTGACTTCTACTTAGTTTTTAGGGGCCAAAAAAACCTTAGAAGACAGTTAAGTATACCTCTTTTTCGTCCAGGTAGCAAACTGAACGGCAAAGCTCATGCTAGAGCCTTTACCGCTGCCACGCAATGACTGAACGTGCATCTGCAAGGTGAGCACAAGCCACCTGCCCAACGTGGTTCATCTAAAGGTAATTGCCGCTAAGCTATAAGAGGAAACGGAATTGGTGCCTCACATGATGTGTGCCTTGAATGCTGGCTTTTAAAATACCTTTCGCTCTGGGTAGATGTGCCCAGTTTCTCATGAAACTGAGCAGACCAGCTTTTACTAACGCTGACTGGAACTACCGCTGGCTGAAAAGGAATGCACCTCAAGGAAAGGATGCTTCACCGAGAGCAGTGGCTGCTGCTGCAGAATGCAATCCATCAGATCAACTAGCAGCAACTTTTTCCTGCTGTTTAAAAGAATGAATGAATGTAAATGAGTGTAAAGGCAGGACAACAGGGTTTACGGCTACTATGGAAACTTTAATCAAAAGCTATAATCTTAAGACAAGCAGAATTAATTCAGTTCTAGTATTTGAATGCGAACATATTAAAATTAAGTGTACTTATCAAAGTCCTTTCTGAGGATTTCCGTTATCGTCTTACAAGCGGTCAGAAGTTAATTTGACTTAAATGGGACCTGGCACCTACATAACTGAAGATTTAGACACACCTCAATCAGAAAGGGCTGTAGCTGAAAATATTTTTTCTTCTGGATAGCTACTTCTAATATATAGTGTTGTTCAGCCATGATACATACCTTTAGAACTAGAGCAAGATGATTTATGTCAAAACCAATTCTTAAGGATTACCTGGTAAAACACGTTGAACGAACTCAATAACAAGTACTAGAGCTTGAAAGCCTGTTACTCAATCTAGTGACAGTAGATAAACATATTCATTTCTAAAATCCACCTTTGAGACTTCATGAAAAATCCAGAGATTGCATAAAAAGAGAATTATAGTCTGTCAATTCAAGTGAACTGCACTCAATGAACTGACTGAACAGTCATTTACTCCTGTCCTGAAGGTCTGACAAAAATTTTGATGACTGTACATCTTTTGTTTAATTGTCTTCCTCTTGATGTAAGAGACTACAAGCATGCCTTTCAGTGAGACAATAAAAAAATCTGAAGCATGTCTTACCTTGAATATTCATAATTTAGTACTGTGCTGATGATACGTCAAGCGATATCATTAAAAGAACAAGTTTGTGTAGTACATAACCACAAAAAAATATAGCTCAATCAAGGAGTAAAGATCTACACAATAAAATAAACCTTCTCCACCCTGAAAGCAAAGTTTAATAATAAGAAAGGGTGGAGCATGGCCTGATTATAATGTGTGTTCTGTGCCTGTCCTAGACTCACCACAGCCTGCAATTCAGAGCTGTGCCTCTATTTTGTATTAGAAAAGGGCTAGGATTAACTTTGTATATAAACAACTTGAAATAGATAAGTGGTAATGAAAAGACTTATTTTATATTTGTTTCTTTAACTGGGTCTTCTCATATCTAGAATTTAATCAAAAATCATCATCTTACAACCAGGTACAAACAATGGGGTAAAACTGAATGCAAGTTTTGCTCAAATGCTGCATTTCTTGATAGCAGGGAACTTATCTACAGCATGGGTTTCCCAGACAAACAATTTCCATTACTGGGACACGAAAACCGTAGGAAGTAACAAAATACAGGGGGGTGAATCTGCATTAGGAGAGGGATTAGGTAAGGGTATGGGCATCCACTAGCATTAACCTCTACAGTTCCTAGTTGAAGGAAAATCAGGTGGTTGAAATTCATCCCACAATTTCAGACCTCTATCTTAGATTCTTTGCCACAGCTAAGGAGCACTTGCAATTTGTGCTCTGGAAGTTCAACTGTCAGACACTGGCAGCACAAGGTAATGTTTATCACCTTTCAGGTGCCTACAGTTTGAGCCTGTACAATTAACGCTAATTCTCCAAACACTGTATTCAAACTAATGGCTGTAGGACTTCAACAGGTTTTATTAAATTATATTTTACCTAAGGAAAAATCTCCGATTTAGCACCATTTACAGAGAGTTTCCTGTTCTACACTGAACCAGTTACCTAAATCTGATTTTATTTGTACAAAAATACATGGAAGTTTTGCTATAAGCCTGAAACTAAGGTACATGCAAATCATTGATTAGAAACTAGTTGCAATTTTTATTACCCACAACTGCAGCAGAAGAAATGTTCAGAATGCCAAAGACCTTAGAGGATATACTGACCAAATTTCAATTTGGATAAAAGCCTGGCAGGGAAAATGGCAAATAAAAATATCCCATCACAAAACTGTCTAAATGGGATTAAAGCAACAAAGCCTTAATTTTTGAAGTGAAATTTAAAATGTTTTAAACTAAACAGAACACTAAAATAGAAAACATAAGCCTCTAACTGTAAACATTCATTTAATAAATGTTCTCTTAAATGTTGCTAATTATAGTGCACGAGTGGAAATCACTTACTTTCTCACTGTTATCCTATTTATAAACTTCACTCCTTGAAAGGGAATCTTATTTACAAACACAGCAAACATCATCTCAGTATAGCCAGCACTTCTGGCTCTACTTGCTGACTCCATTTAAAGACAGGGAAACCAACTGGGAGCAGTAGCAGCAACCTGTTTTCAATCCGAGTACAAAGCAAGTGGGATGAGACCTAACACCATAAACAAAGGACAGGCAGTTCTTCAAAGGCACTGAGGTTTCTAATAATCCTTTCTAAAGGCTCCTAAGGAGGTTTAGTCCCTGCTGAAGCCAATGGGAGTCAATCACTACAAATCAAATAAATTAGAGTGCAAAGCAAGATTTATTTAAGACCAAGGCTTCCGACTTTACTCTCCCACATTTTGAGGTACTGCTTCTGTCTTTGACAGTAATGATACAAGATGTATGCCCCTTAATATCATAAACAAAATTTCAGAGAGATTTCTCTGAATACAACGAAATAGAATAAGAGATAAGGCTCAGAAAAATGGTAAAAGTGCTTTTGTTCACAAAATGTCAATGAGTACAAAAGTTTCTTCTCTGCTGCAGAACAGTTTCATAGCCACGAGCCACTAAGCTCTCAGAAACTTGGACTTTCATGGCAGAAGATGCCACTTTACCCAGAATACCAGAATTCTAACTTAATCTGTTTGAGATGAGATGTTCACATTATGCTGTCCTGCGGCCTGATCTAGGTTTAACTTCAAGCCTTCTAACTTCCATGAGAAATGGAAGTCTCTGAGCCTAGCTTCTGTCCTTCTCCTTAAAAAAAAAAAAAACCTCTTTGTAATAATCTGAAACTGGCGATTTCAAGTCTGCAGAAGCAGTAAGACCTCAAACCAAAGATACATTTAGAAGTCTAGAAAAGTTTCTATCGATAAATTTTCCTGAGAACTTGGCACAGACAGCACAACCTGCAGTCTAATGATATGGGAGAAGGCAACTGGCACAATAGTATTCCAAATACACAAAGTAAACTATGCTCGCCCAGACCATCTCTCCTCCATTTCAATTTCCACAGCAGTGTGTTATTTTATGTAATACATATAGAAAAAGAGATGAAAATTGTTTGTATCTGCACAGATGGCTGTATATTATGCTTTCCCAAGCATTATGCATCACAGAAAGGTCTAGTACGGGCTAAGTCTTTCTCTTCTCGGTAGTCTCTTACTTTCATCAATCCCTAGAGGAAAAAAAAAAAACAGCCCCCATAAATAGCCAAATTGTCTCTTCATAATCCTTTAGGGTAGTCTTAAATTTCGTTGCCTCTAAAAAGGAGAGAGAAACCTAGCCACCAGCCCTATACTACAAAGGCTGTTACTGTGTCAAAGAAACATCTGCAGTAAGGCCGTGGTAGTGAGAACGTGGTTTGTGGTTTGGATTCAAGACACTCATAGTACCAGATAACTTCCTGAAATAATCACAGATCAGCAAAGCTTCCTCGAGATACTACTATTTTGATCAATACCCTTCCTAAATGACAAGAAGCTGGAAGAGGCCCAAGGCAACAGAGGTATATCGCTCTACCTGGCCAGTAACTACGGAAGAAGCAGCCATGAGATGCACCGCCTTCTCATCTGGAAAGTCACTCCATTCCACTCCCCATTCAGCTCTGTTGATAAATATCCAACTGCTTCACTTTGACAAACACTATTTGAATGCACTGCTAACTACTGCTTTTCCACTGCAACATTAGTCCAACAAGCTTAGAAATATTTGGGTCAACTTGACCAACTGGAGGATAAATTCAGTTAAATCAAGAGTTTTGCATCAGCTGGACGGGAATACGCCAGGAATACGCCTCTTTACAACCTGCAACCACTCTTTGCACCCCTTAAAAGAACTACAGGGAAGATGGTAGGTGAGCTGGCTCACACCTAACTTTTGTGTAAGATCACATCCCCCAAAAGCTATTCTGATTTCTTTCACAAAAGAAGCCACTTTTCACTCCCCTGTTCCAACCACAGCAACACGCAGGACTGGAGAACGGAACCCACCGCTCTGGTGTAGCCTCTCCAGTCCATTTCTGCACATTACTGAACCAAGCACAATTCAGTTTTCATCACCTACAATAAATCCTAGTGACCTCAGTAACAAGGACTTTTAAAGTCACAGATGAAAAAAATGAAGCTGCACTTTGAAAAAAATGGAACTGACAATACAGCACAAACCTGAAAGTTTACCATAAACGCTTCCAAACAAATGTTTCTCCTAACAACAGGGAAATGGAAGTGAGCTGCCCTAGCAGCCTTCCAGGTGTTCTCCAGAGCTTACCCATCGTTAAATGCATCTTCATGTAGCATTATTAACAGGCCTACCTAGACTAGCCAAAATGTCAGGAGGACCAAGGCAACTGCACGTGCTAAGCCAAACCAGACCTCCGACTGTAACTCAGTTATGTGCGATGAAGTTTAAGAGATCAGGACCTGCAGTCCAGCAGCTCTGTAGATTGGACTGAAAACAAGTACAGCCTCTAACAAACTGCAGAAGAGCTAACAGAGCTGTCCTGGTAATGCTATCTAAATGTGCCATTCAATCCCAAGTACATATTAGCTTTCTTTGAAAAGGGTTTTTGATCTTCATTTTTATTCATAATTTCAAATGATGGAAAAGCCTAGCAATGCAATGAAATTGTGCTTCTGTATTGATGCGGTAAGCATTAAATTTCATGGTTCCAAGAACACAAGTGAATAGGTTTTACCTAAGAGATCTTGTACAGGTAAATTATGGCCACTATCTAAACAGCTGGCAGATGACTTTACTACAGCAGCAGCTTCTTGATCCTATGTAGGGGAATTGCAGCAAGGTGTGTCCTTAACAAGTTCTTTTTGTTTAAGATCGAGAACTTCCCTTCGATGTATTTGCAAGCCATTTTAAAGCCACGCTTCTAATCTACATTCAAATTAAATGCAAGATCTCAAATCTCATCATATGATCAGCTAAATCTTGCAGAAACAGCATTCTCAATTCAAGGGGTAACCTTCAGGTAAGGAAGCGTTTGCAAGCCTCTTACTGAAATCTGCTCAGAAGAAGACCTGCAATGCGTATACTTTTACTCCACAAGATCAATCAATAGCCACAAGGCCAACGTTTAAAAACGCCATATCGCTGAAGGTTTAGCAAAGCTATCTGTCCTCGCTAACAACCAAACGACGGTTCTTTACGTAAGCCCGAAGGCTCGGCTCCCCTGGGGCCCTCCGAGGTGCTTTATTTCCCCTTCCCATCCCGCTGGCCATCCCGGCTCTCCCACCAGCCCAAGCCCCGTCGCGGCTCTCCCCGCCGCAGGCAGACGCCTCTCCGAGCCCTGAGGAGAGCGGCGCTTCCAGCGGGCGGCCGGCTCCCGGCAGGGCAGGGCAGGGCGGCCCCGGGTCCGGCTGCGTTTCGCCACCCTCGCCCTCCCCTGCAACAAGTG